TTAACTGTTTATAATAAAAAAATTATGATTTTATATAACTAATACTTGAAAAAGTCATAGATAAGTGATCCTAAGTCTATTAATTTTAGGTTAAATTCTCTAACTTCATGGGGGATTGTTTATTGCCTGCCCTTCAAAGTAAAAGTTGGGTCCAGTAGGATGGGGAACACTTGCCTATAACATCGCTTGTAAAATATTAAAACAGAGCTCTTTTTCTTTTTTTGGCTGAACATTCAAGGAGTACTGATAATACTGCCAAATTGCATCATTATTTAATTTTTTTTTTATATGGACCATTCGGTGTCCGGAAATTTATTAAGCGACCGACTAATCCGAATTTGAGCCGAGCAGAACCCAATGAGTGGTAAAGCTCTCTCTCATAAATTTTAACGGAAGGACGGAACTACATTCTGAGGACTTGAATTCAAAACCTTTGGTTAAGCAAAAAGAATTTCAGCCAATTCATCCACCGTTCATGGTGCATCATTATTTAATATATATATTTTTTTATGAATCATTCGGTATTTGAAAACCTGTTAGGCCACCGATTAATTCAGATTCGAGTCAGACAAGACTTAATGAGTAACAAAATTCTCTTTCATGAATTTTAACAGAACTGCATTTTCAGGATTTGAATTCAAAACCTTTGATTAAACTAGAAGAGTTCTAGCCAACTCATCCACCGCTCATGGGTGCATCATTATTTAATATAATATTTAATAATAACTCAAATTTCGCATTATGTAATAGCAAGTTTTATTTTAATATTTTTAAAGTTAAAATATTTTAGTGGGCCGTCCATATGTATAGTCAAGATGAAAAAGATGAATAGTCAACCATTGAGTTAAATATTTTAAAAATTAAATAAATCTCAATTATTTATAATAAAAAGTAAATAATTGTAATACATATATATAATTTCTATGTAAGTAATCCTAATTCCTTTAATTTTACCCTATTAATTTTAGGTTAAATTCTCTCTACTTTCACGAAGGATTGTTTAATGCCCTTCAAAGCAAAAGTAGGGTCCAGTAGGATAGAGGACACTTGTCTATACCGTAGCTTGCAGTAATATATTAAACAGAGCTCTTTTCGTCTTTTTTGGCCAAGAATTGAAAGGCTGATTATGATCCTAAATTTGTATCATTATTTAATATATAAAATATTTTAATTGGCTTAATCAAAAAACATATATTTTAGTTGGCCCTCTTGATGTCATGCTTTGCAAACTGCAACCTAATTTTTTTTTTTTTGGTGAAAGGGATGTAAATTATTTACCAAAAACAAAAAGGGTTGTAAATGTACTTTTTGCCAATATTATATATTAAAGTTTAAGTGATTGAGATTGTCAAACAAGAAAAAAGAGTGTTAGGTGATGAAGTTAGGCCCAGCCGCTTGAAAGTTGAGACTTTGCCACCAATTCATACACCCACTAGCCACTACCCTACCACTTTAGATTTGTTGATTTATATCTTCTAGGGGTCCATTACGTGCTGACTGCAAATACCTCAACATTTTTATCAGGCGCTCACCCTTGACCTCACAGAGATTCAACTGATCATGGGTTGGCACAAATTACAGAAGACTTTTCTGTATCCTCTATCTCAGTACATTAGGATTTGGAGTAATCATTGCCCCACATTTGGTTTGGTAATTGATTAAAATGTATGTTTCCTTTAGGTACCACTTGAAAGATGCAGTGCTTGAAGGTGGAATTCCATTTAACAAGGCTTATGGAATGACTGCATTTGAGTATCACGGGACAGATCCTAGATTTAACAAAGTTTTCAACAAGGGGATGTCTGATCACTCTACCATTACCATGAAGAAAATTCTTGAACTCTACAAAGGTTTTGAGGGTCTTAAAACTCTGGTCGATGTTGGTGGTGGGACTGGTGCCACACTTAACATGATCATCTCGAAGTATCCCACAATTAAGGGAATTAACTTTGATTTGCCTCATGTAATTGACGATGCTCCTGCTTATCCTGGTATGACATTGGCTACAGCACCCAGGATGAGGCTTAAATTTGGTTTCTTGATTTCTTAAAGTAAAAGCTTTTGGAGTATACTGAATCATTACCTATGTATAATGAAATTGATGTGGTTTCTCCTGCAGGCGTTGAGCATGTTGGTGGTGACATGTTTGTTAGTGTTCCGAAAGGAGATGCCATTTTCATGAAGGTGAGGTTGAATTTATTGATAAAAATTATTTTCTTTGAAGAGCACAACCCTTTCCACATGTGCATAAGTTGATGAGAGATTAAAATTTGCCGAGTTACATTTGCTCCATTGACATTTGTATGCTTCTCTTGCAGTGGATATGTCATGACTGGAGCGATGAACACTGCTTGAAATTCTTGAAGAACTGTCATGAAGCTTTACCAGATCACGGAAAGGTTATTGTCGCTGAATGCAATCTTCCTGATGTCCCAGATCTCACCCTTGCCACCAAGTTAGTTGTCCACATTGACTGTATCATGTTGGCTCATAACCCTGGGGGAAAAGAGAGAACTGCAAAGGAATTTGAGACCCTTGCCAAGGGTGCTGGTTTTGAAGGTTTCCAAGTAAAGTGCTGTGCTTTCGGCACCTATATCATGGAGTTTCTGAAAAAGGCTTGAGTAAAATTAATTCGGCTATATCATCATCATACAAGCATACTTCTTTCTTTTGCCTGCTGAGGTGTATCGTCTCTAAGGTGGATTAGTCTTCTTGTATAAGTAGTTCTTGCTCTTCAAAAATAACTGAAACAAATACAGATTATATATATGTATGCTGCTTGTGTCAAATAAACATTGTAATGTGTTTGATTTGTAATGTGTTTGATTTCATGTAAATGAAATTTTCAGTGGCTTGAAGCTTCAAAAACTTTATGAAATGATTTTCTAATTTTGTATATGAAATCTCCCTAAATTAACATTTCCTTTTAATGCAGAATCGAACCTACATAAAGAGTGAGATTTATTCAAAACAAGAACAATTTCATGCTTATAAAATGATATTGTCTTGCACTGTTTCGGATAATAAAAGTGAGGAAGGGAATTTGAACTGCAACATAGAATGGTTCCACAAGTCTGCCTAGGACAAGAATTGAATTACAACAAACGGATCAAAGTAGCAGAAAGTATCCTAGACTGCTAGTTGTAGTAGAGAACTAATTCTTGAAAAGCTCCAAACAATGTTCCTGGTCCAGGTTTCGGCTCCAAAACTTGCTGTAATATTCGGCATAGGTGAAATCCCTGTATATGGCACCTGATCCATCCTCAGTGAGAGGTTTTGCAGGGCTGATTATGGCATCGTCATACGGGCAGAGGAAGGAAGCAATCGACATCCTTGCCTTGTCTGCATTGACAATTGCTCGGTGCCAGACGCTCTTGTACCTCCCATTACTCAGTGCCTACAATAATCAACATGGTCATATTGAGTATTTCAAGCTAAAACCATTCCTGGTTCCATAGAGGGAGCCAAAAACTCTTTCTTGGAAGACAATATCATAGAATATCTAAGTTTCAGACGGGTCAACAATAGGTAAAATTTGCAATTCTCCAACATCTTGCATGTTTCTCAAGCAAGTAAGAGCTTAGTTTTTAACATTGTGAGGGAAATGCTTACCTGTAATTGATCACCTACGTTAATGACAAAGGCGTCCGGCCGGGGATTAACTGCAACCCATTTACCGTCCTTGAGTACTTGGAGGCCCGCAACTTGCAAGTCTTGAAGCAAAATTGTAAGAGCATTGGGGTCGGTGTGTCCGGGCAATCCATACGTCAGCTCCGGTTCCGGACATGGCGGGTAGTAGTTCACGGCCATGTGTTGCCCTTGCTTATCTAGGACATTTTTTATGTAGTCCTTCTCCAAGCCCAGGCTCTCTGATATCAATTCTTCAAGCCTGAATCCAAGTTCTCGGACTTCCTTACAATAGTTACTCACAATTTCTCTGTAAATGCAACATACAATTTATTTATTTATATTTCTGAAGAACTAGAAGTAATTCTTCCTCCTCCTGAACTTGCTGTTTTGTAATTGACAAAAAAACATCTAAAGAACACCAAGCAGGGAAACTCAATGAACAATCTGGGCCGGGCTTGGCTATTTTAGTAAGCATGTGAGATGCAATCAACAAATGACAAAAAAAAAAACAAAAAAAACAAAAAAAAAAAGGAGCACAAACCCTAAACTCAGAAAGAAAAGACTAATGAAGTGATCCAAACCCAAAGGGGCCATAATCTGACCAATTTTATATTTTGGGTTAAAGTGACCATTTTCATTTTTCCTATGCTTGATGGACTGGTACTATGACAGATTGAGGGCACCTGGCCTCTATGGCTGATTGGGCAAAGGTCAACCCTTTTCAGTCCAATAAGTATAGTTTCAATTCTCCTTCCATTGAAAGAATTATACCACCTTCATCTAGACTTAGTTGTCACACCTATCATATTTTTACTATGGTTATGGGCCTATGGCCACCATTCAATTTATTGAGGTCATCAATAACTTTCAAATTTTTTATCTTAATTTAATTATTAAAAATAGTTAATAATTAATAAAATAATTAATATTTATTATTTAATAGATTAAAATAAGTTTATTAAGAAATATTTCTAAATATCATACCAACTATTTTAAAAAAAACTATAAATTGATAAAATTACAAATAAATTGGTGGAATTAACAATTTGGACACTAACAATAATCTAGCCCTAGTTTTGTAAAGCCTTTTGTTATACTCTAAATTGAGTCTTTTGAGAATTAAGATATGTGGAGGCATTTTAGAAAAGTTCTATCAAGATTAGATAAGTTAAATCCCACTAGAATTAGAATATTCAACTCTAACATAACTAAAATTGTAATCCTGAAATGATTTTATGTAATATTCTATGAATACCTCAATGCAAGACCTAGGAAGGGGATTAGTTTTCTTCATTCTCTCTCCATTGTAAGCTCTCTACATTTCTTGATCAATAAAGTATTTGATTGCACACAATTTCTTTTATTTTTTAGTGTTAACATTTGGCACTCACTGTGGAGCAGAGTTCTTTTTGATCCATGAATACCACATGGAAAATTCTAACAACAAAAACTCACCAACATAGCTCATGGATGCTCCAAGTTGGAAAATAATGGAGAAATGAGTGGATTTTCTTCATCAAGAACAAATTTTAGAGGTGCTCTTAACATAGCTAAACTAGGATCTTTGTCGTTGGCATCACAAGAACAATCATACCATGGACCTATAGCGTAATCTTCATACTAGCATACCCAATAAATGGAGGCAACAAGTTTATAACAATTATATATATGGAGAAATAGATGTGCTACATAAGCATGTATCAAAGATATAGGTGAGTTGATAAAGGTATCTAGAGGCAACATACATAACTTAAATGGAAAAGCTTTCATTGATGAAGTTATTAGAAAACCTCTACTGCCAAACTTCAAAGCTCCGTAGTTGGTAAAATACAACAAAACAAAAGATTCGATGGAACATGTGCAAGGATTCAAGATGACCATGATGGTCTATAGGGTTTTGATGCTCTTTTTTGCAAACAAATTCCCACAACTTTTAGGAAAGTTGTTATTCCAGCTAAATATATATACTTTTGTAAATAATTTTTTAATTTTCAATCTTAATAGTTATGCAACTTCCTGTGTTTCTAAGAAAACTAATCTTTTTCTTGAGAAACTTTTGGGAAGAGGCCATCTAGGCTAAAAAGCTTCAAGCATAGAAATTTGATTGAGGAACACAAGTTCAAGAACTCAAAACTTTAGGACAAACAATAACAACTTTAGTGAAAAACCAAATGAATGATGTGTAAAATTAATGTAAGCTACATGGGCTTGACTTCTACTTGTTGAAGGAAGCTCTATTAAGCACCTCTTTCATACATCTACACAATAATGTAACTCACATAGTTCAAGAGATCAAAGACTAGAAAGAAGATTGGTTAAAAAAAGTATGGATGCCACATAATTTGACATAGAATCTCAACCAAAAAAGCTTTGAGTCAACTCCATGTTAGAGTCAAACAACAGAGAGAAAGCTATGCTCAACATAACAACCTCAATTGTCCCATCTAAGAGGAAGACATAGGAGATATAAGAAAAAAAACAAAAGAAGTGCCACACAACCTAATATAATACAAGTTCATATAAGAACGATTCAAGCTAGTGAAAACTACAACAATGTATCTTTAACATTGCTTTTTAATAGTGCACAGCTTAAACATCATCATAAGTGATAGTAAAGCTATGAAAAGAAAAATGCGTTAAAAGCTATATAAAAGCTCTATATTATAGCGTAATTAGTTAAATAGCTTAGGGCTTAAGGAAATCAGATTCATTTGAAGTTTTAAAGTGATTCAATAGCCATAAGCAAACAATTTTAGATAAGAAGCTAGGTCATGTTCAATAAAGGAACTTTAGGTTGATATAACTTTTAAATAAGAGAATTGACATAAATTTGAAGTAAATAGTCGAAAGTGAAATTAGTCTTTTTTCAAGGATGTAGTAGATGCTTTGCAACTAAAATTAATTTAAGCCTAGAGATAAATCAATGAATAAAAGTTGGCAAAATAACCATACACATGTATTGGACAAAAGTCTAGGAAAATTCACATGGTACCATTATGCAAAAGTCAAGTTAAATGAATGTCTATTTAGCAAATAGATAATTAAAAACCAAAAACACAAATATAAGCCAACTTAAAGTTTTAAACATAAAAATAAACATAAAACAAATGTTCATAAATTGCCTAGAAAAGTGAAGCTCCAATGAACTAAGCTTTAGGAGACTTAAAGAGTTCAAAGAAAACCTCTACGTCATCATATCTCTAAATCCACCTCAACATTGTATAGCTACCTCAGAGTCATCATTATCCCTTTTCCTCTATTAGCAAACCATTTAAGGAACCCTTCATAGCATTCTAATTATATTTAGCTTTCAATTATGAATCTTTAGAAATCTTCATCACCACATCTAACTCATGGAAATCTATGAAGTGATCTTTTTTATTCATCTTAGACTCTAGCAACATCATCTTCATTAGCTTCATGGCTAGGTTAAAGAATCCCAAGGTGCCAAAAGCCTTACACTACAAAGATTCCTAAAAGCTCTGCAAAGCATACGTTATAGACTCTTCAAAAAGGAAAACCTGTCTTTAACCTTTCAACAAACCTTTCCAAAGAAAATTCTTAGCAAATAAATCAATAACTTCTTTTTGACACTAAAACTTGGTGGCATCAAAGGATTTCTTGTTAATGTTAAAATATGCACAAGACAAATCTTTCTCATTTTTTAAGGTTAGAGGCTTTATGTGAACCTTTGTATAGTAAATAAGATTCTACTTTTTTAAGTACATTTTTCTTCACAAGCTTTATGTAGGAAAACAATGAAAGAGAAATAGAACCAAGTTAGAGACAAGGAGGAGAACAAGATGGAAAACACACCTTTATTATGTTATGAATGAAATGTAACTTCTTATCAACTTCGAAATAGAGGTTCAAAAAGATAAGAAGTAGTGCAACTTTTCTTGAGGATGAATGGATCATCAGACATAAAAGGAACCTGCACAAGATCCTCCCTAACAATGTTGATCTTTAACATTGCTCCACAGTGGTGTACACGTTTAACATCACTCCACAGTGGTGCACACATTTAACCTCACTGCATAATAGTGCATATATTTAATATTGTACCTTAGCAGTGCACATCTTTAACATGAACATCTTGAATATCTTTCCTATGTGATTTTAGAAAACCTTTGCTAGATGCATGAATAACAAAAATACTTCTCACTTCGTTGAACTATTTGATGGAAGGAAAATAAGCAAGAGAAATAAGAAGATTTGAGCAATCGAAGGAAAAAAAAAAATCTTTTTGAAAGTTGTATAAAATAACATTTTTACAAAAGTTGTGCAAAAGAACATCTTTATTAGAGTCATCTTTACAAAAGTTGTGCAAAATAACATCTTGGGTATGTGAATAACATCAACACAACTTTTGAAAAGCTATGCAAAAAGAGCTATGTCAAAACTATACAAGAAAAGCTTTGCATCACGAAACTTCAAGAGAGGAGGATCAAAGTATGTTTCAAAATCCAAGTTAATAGCTTAGGAAAATTGAACTTAAGCAAAAAAACTTTGATAAATGAAGAAACATCCACTTCAAGCCTTAACACATATCATAGGGCAATGTGTGATAGTTGATATGAAGGTAAAAACATATCCCATTGGTGTAGATTTTATTTATACATTGTTAAACAAAGAAATTCAAGAGGTTTGCATCACACAAGTACATGCAACATCTATCTAAAAAATCCACTATGCATAGAATCATCTGTTAAGTATGGTATTTATGAAAGTTGTGCCCAAAAGATCTGTCGCACCCATGATCGACCGTTCAGCACATGGTCTAGGAAAGCTATGCTAAAGAATTCTCAATATGGAGGAAGACTTGCACTATATTCTTTTTTCCTTGAGATAGATTTTTATCTCAGGGTTTTTTCTAGCAAGAGTTTTAATAAGGTAGTCACATTTTGAAAAGAAATCTTTAAATTATAAAGGTAAAAACCTCTAAATCACGGAATTTCAAAACCTTTAAGCAAACAGAGGTTTCCAACTTTGTCGCAACACAAGAAGTTGAGGAGTTCAATACACAATTTAGTCACAAAATTTGTGACAACTCAAAACCAAGTGCTTACTAAAAATGAAACATATGTTTCACACAACATTTGAAAGAGAGCTCAAACTATTCAAAACTTTTGCTAAACATAGGAAATGATGAAGATAGTTCTCACTTCTTTCAAACTTCTTCATTGGGGGCAAATGTTATATCTGAAATTGAGTCATATAAGAATTACGATGCATGGAGGCATCCTAGAAGAGTTTTATCAAGATTAGATAGACTAAATCCCACTAGAATTAGAATACTCAACACTAACCCAACTAGAATTGTAATCCTAGAATGATTTTATATAATATCTTATAAATACCTCAAGACTAAACCTAGAAAGGCTAGGGGATAATTTTTCTTTATTCTCTTCCATTGTAAGCTCTATCTATATTCTTAATCAATAAAATACTTGGTTCCACACAAACTCTTTTATTTTTTAGGGTTAACACCTTTAAAACCATTATTTCAATATTACCCTTATTAATTACTTTAAATGATTTTCAAACATAGTAATTCATAAATTAAGAATTTTTAAAAATTTCTTCTTATATTACCCTTATGAAGGAAATACAAACAAAGAGAAAATGTTGTTAACAAGATGAGTTACAATTAAGAAACAATAATAATTAAAATAGAAAAGATATTTATCTACTTAAAAATTTAAAAAAAGGAAACAAACTTTTAGCATTATTATTGTGAGACAAAAACATAACAAAAAGGTATTTTACTATTTAGATTATTTCAAATTATACAATTTTAACTATTAAAGGAAAGCTTTTTGATATTAAAAGCTTTCTCCACATTTCAATAATTTTTATTTTATAATTTAATCTAGTTTAAATTATAAAACAAATAACTCAAAAAATATAAAAGTATAAGAATGTATTTTTGTTTTTATTTATTCTATTTTAGTAACTAATTCTAGATATAGTTATTTTTACTATTAAAATAATATATATGGTATTAATTATTGCAAGTGATAATAATAACCAGATAAGTTACAACATTAATTACCAGTTGTGAACCAAGATTTTTATTTAAAAGTTGCTAGTTCGACGAAGGTGAGGAAGGATTTAAGATTTAAAATTTTTTAAAGAAAAATTTATTTTATAATTTAATACTTATGAAATAAATTTAAAAAAAGGGTGGCTAAAAAAAAAAAATATATATATATATATAAATTTTATTTAAATTATATTTGTATGAGTTGTGCCAACATTTTATGCAACTGATGTATGCAAGAGAGTTGACACAACTTTACACACATCACTTATATAAAATTTTG